ATGCAAAACGTAACATGAAATCCCGTCCCCCTCACTTTCTATTGAAAGGACTAGTCTCTGCATGTACTTGTACACAGAAAGGCCAGAGCTGCAGAGGGAAAAGCTTTGAAAAATTAGCATCTGTGTAAGTGAAAGCTGTGGATCTGGTAGGCTCTGGTGGGCTACTGATTTTATTTGTTTCAATCTCCTTTTTCAGTCTTAGAATTAGCTGGATTAGTTCCAAACTCTAGCATTTGCTTTTTTTCCCCCAGTCTTTGTTTTCACTGTTATTAAGAGCTCTGTCTTATTGATGCCTTGACTTCACAAATACTTATTTGTGAGAGGCCACACTGTGGGCTATAGACACAGCACCATTTAAACAAAAACCCAGCTATTAAAAATGTTTTTCCAGGTATGAATTTAATAAAAAAGATTTTGTGAACAATATGATAAATGGAAATGTAAGTTATACTGAAAAAGAGAACTGAGTCCATTATTCTTTTATGGAATACAAATGACCACAATTTGATAACTTTCCCTCTTTTCTTTTTAATATATCTAGTACCGGCAAAAACAGCCTGAAGAAAATGCCTCAGAGAACAGCATTTTCTTTTCAAAAATAAGAGTAATACTATTCACATTTTCCCAGGTCTCCTACTTACAGAAAATTTTATTACTTAACATTTATCAATCTGCCGCAGCGCTGGGCATTTAGAGAACACACAAGATTTGTTCTCTGACTATATCTCTCGCATGAACACGAACACCCTCCGAGAAGACCAGACAATAACAACTGTGCAATCTGTAGTGAAGCTACTGGGCAGGGGCTGCACCAGGAAATGCAAACTCAAAGCTTACAGGAGCCAAGCAGATAGACTTGCTGAGCAGAGAAGATTCATTGCCTGCTTATTAAACACATCCAAATAGTCTTCATTATCACACATAAGTATCTTCTTTTTCATGTTTTTATGGTAACATGAATCTTTCAATATTTTTTTATTCTTCCACATTTGATAGAATTGTACTTTTAGAGAAATGTGTCTCCAAATAAGAAAACGAGATAGAAAGCCCGTTAACAAATGATAATAGCAAAAGTCATTAGTGCAAATGATATAATTACATAATAGAAAGTGGTTGGAGATTTAAATTTTTACATGAAACATGGGTTTAAATATGGCAAAGATTAAGACTATGTTGTACAGATTATTTTGGAAATACATTCAGAAGCCAAATTTGACCACAATATGCCTCTGAAACAGTTACTTTTGGTTAGATTTTGTTTTTTGTATGTTGGTTTTTAGATTATTGCTCATTATTATTCTCATGTATTCTATTTTTATTCCATGTCTAAGGTCAGACTCAGCCAACCACATTTTAGAAACTTTCAAATAATTCTTATGTTCATCTAAGGTTGGGAGTCACTGGTGTAGGCAGTTGGTTAAGGTGTAGTGTTCTACCCCCCTAACCCCCCTCCCCCAAAATACCTCCTTCAAAGAAATGGCTCACTTTTTAAGAGCAACAGCAACATATCCTGCATGCAATTCAGTACTTAACTGTGTGGCTGGGAGCTGTGGATATGACTCAAGATCTGTGTGGCAGTTAAGATGTTAAAAAGGCTAAATCTCATCAGTTGCCATGTACCAGATCTGAGGTGATACTGCATGAATAAAATAGGGATGATTCTGGTGAGGATAGAAAAGGCCCCTTGGCATTGCCCAAGAAAAAATAATGTAACAGAGAAAATAAATGTAACATGTCTGGGACATATGAGCAATCTTAACTCTAGACTATTATATTATTTTGTGAGCAGGAAAAATTAAGCAGACATTTCCAAATCCTTAAAGAAGCAGTCCTCAAATTCCTCCATTCTCCTTTGATTTAATCATGCTTACCTAGTAGTTTTCCAATTACTAATTCTCTTTTATAGACACTTTATTATTTGGCAGAGGCCTAATGAATGTAAGCATTCCAGTCACTGGGAAGGAATCTAGTCACTAGAATGTACAGATTTAACAGGTTGGAATTGGGGGCTATAAAGGTTACAGATTAGTTCTCTATGAGCTTGGTTAATATGACTCCGACTTCAAAACTGTGACCAAGTCCAAACTCACTGACAAAATTCAGGTCTCTGACTTGCAACGTGAAGAACAAACCCTTGACTGGCCCATGAGGCTCACTTTTGGGAATAGGTGCAGGTATGGAAGCAGCATTTTCTGCTATACCACTCTTGCATTTTCTAACTTCAAAACCAACTTGGGAAAATTGATTTCAAACTGTATTTTGATGGAAACTTTTATTTGTGATCCAAAGTCCTCAGAATGTTCCTTATATTTTTTCAAGATGTGAAAACTGAGTTGAAAAAATCTGTTGAGTTTCCACGGAAATGGTGCCAATTAATTTTTTTTCTGTTCCTCAGGAAAATTCCTTGATTTAGCAATAGTGTAACTTCCTGGCAATCCCCTGGCAGTTGTGAACACAGGCCATCTGAAACACTTATATTTTCAGTGGAAATATACTTGGCTCTTATAGTCCCATTTCCTTTCAGCATATAGTGCAATAAATAATTTCTTTAACCTTTTTTAGGAAACTTGTCTAGTCCTTTTAGAAAATCTTGACTCTAACCATCATTTAATAAAACAGCCTTTGTTTGTTCTTTACTGAAATCAGAGGTTATCATTGGTGAAGCATGTACTGCTTTTCCTATTATACCATGGAATCCTGGAATGTTTGAAGAGTAAGCAGTTTTGACCGCCCAGTATGTCCTATGGACTGCATGGTCATAAATATCTTAAAAGGTTTAGACAGAAATGGTTGTATAGAGAAAGCCCTTTTAGGTACTTAGAAGTCTTTAATTAAAAAAATATTCCCAGTTATTCTCAAGTATCTTCTCTTTCTCAAATGGCAGTAACCAGGGAGGTTTTTGTGTGTTTTTTTTAACATTTCATGAGGTTTATATTTCTCTAGTCCTTATAAATATTTCAATGTTCTTTTCTGTTATGCTGAATTAGTGATGTCCAGGGTTAAAGAAATCTAAGGAAACTGCTCTAAGTTGAGTAATCATCAAGGAATTGGGTTTAAACATATAGAAAGAAAAAAATATCTACAAAGAAAAAAATTTAATTGAAATTTCAGAATTCTAACCCTCAAATAATTTAAAAAGTCTGGCAATCATTGACATAGTTGAAGCAAATTAGGTAAGATATGAACAGGTAATCATCCAAAAAAATTATGATTAGGTCCTCGCTTCTTTTCATTATTCTCTCTCCTCTTTTTCTTTTCTGGGCACAGAAGGGACTAATTTTATTTTATACACATGGTGGAACAATAATCATTCTCATCTAGGCTTCATGGACATTTGCAGCCTTTCCATATATTGCTCTCTGTGAAACAGCCAAAAATATAATTGGTAAGATGAAGCATTCGAAGGATCTCCTCATCCCATTTGTTACTTGTCACAGTCCTTTGACACCTGTGGCCTTCTTCACATTTCCCCCGACTCCTAACAGAAGTTAATTAAAACATGATAATTGGATAATTTATAAAAAAATGCTTCATGGAAATATTCTGCTGAACAGCTCAAGACATTTCCTTTCCTCACTCTTTTGAAAGCTCTGTGAGGCATGTGGGGAAGTCCAGAGAGAAGCAGTATTTTCTGATTTGTTTGATTCTTCATTGACTGTTTGACCCTAACAGTGCAATGATTGCCTCTGAAGTTCTGCATCAGTTTCTTCAGAGAGCTAAAGGCACAGTGGTAGAATAATGGTAGACTTGCAAAGATACACCTTTCTTCCCAAATACGGAATCATTAGAAATGGAGACTTTTCCAGCAGAATTTCTCCATCTATAAATCTATACATTTTATAACTCTATAAGCAGAACATCTAATCCATTTGTGGTAGACTGGAAGTTCAGCTTCATCATGCGCTGCACTGGAATAGCAGGTGCTTAATTGGAAGAATGATAAAAAAGTAGAAACTTTCTGCTGTGGGAAACACCACTTGAAGTCATGGGTGAATAACAATCTTTGTAGGGGCTCAGCTTTGTTTGGAGGACAATCAATGGTATCCTAGGAGCAGGCCCTTTGAGGTTCAGGGGTCTTAGAAGTTGGCATAGTCAGTACCTAGCTGTCTGTACAATGACACGAAAGGTGACTGACTATGGGAGTGTTTAGGAGCTATTGTAAAATTTCCTGGTTTTATTTTAATGCTGCTCTCAAAAATTTACTGGTAACAATTTCAAGGTAATATTGATTTGGACTGAAGTTATTTCAAAGGTGGGTTGAGGTGAAAAGTGTCTGTGCATGCTGATTGATTATTGAGCCAGCCAGTGTTTGCTCCACTTCTGCCACCTTTTACAATTTTCGTTTTTGAACTCTAACCAAGGCCTTAGTAGCAGGAAAAAAAGAGTACATTTTCTGTTTTTACTCAGGACCAAGCATGTCAGGGAGAACTGCAGGCAGCTGCCTCTCAATAGAGCAAGAGAAAGATAGCCCTCCTGTGTGAGATATCCCTATTGCTTCAGTATTTAGCTTTTCTCTGCATGACAAGTAATGGCTCAAAAAACATCGGATCGAGTGCCGAAGGCAAGAGAATAGTGAGAAAGGGTACAATCTTTGATTGGAGCCAATGTAGAGCACATAAAACCCAGGCTGGTCCCACTGTAGAGGCAGTCAATCATCTACGCCTCCCTCCAGGTAATTTCAGAGGCTTCTCTCTAAGGGTCTACGGAAGCACACTCTTTGATGCATGGTCGAGTATGTTTCTTACTTGACCTTCTTAGAGTCCTGACAACATCATCAACATAACCACAAATATTCTCATAAGGCCAATTCTTGCCTTTGTTAATTAAAATATTTTTGGCATTAATCTTATTATGGCAAAATTATATTTGGGTGAGACAAAGAGTAAAGTTAATCAAGTACACTTATTTACTTCTATCCCAAGAGATTTTATTCAGTGTTCATAACCCTTCTTTAACTCTTCCTTGGAGAGAATTAAATAAACTGACGTTTATGTTGGTACCTTGTTTCCTGGGGCCATGGAACTTGTCACCATCAGATTGTCTTCTGGCGGCTTTCTGTTGAAACACTGTAAAAAATATAGCACACATTATTTCTTGAACACAATTATAAATAAGAACACACTGGAAGTCTCCTGGAAACAAGTATGCAACACATCATTTTTCTTAGTAACAATTTTGAATTGTAGTTTTTTGAGTAGGAGCATTATTAAATTTACAATTTTCTCACTTGTGCAGCTTATCAGTCATTTCAAAAGGCATTTTCTGTGGGCTGAGCAGTTTAACGCTGATAGAATGACTCATTAAAGTATTAAAATCAAGATATAATTCCATTTTGATATCAGGTAAAGATAAAAGCTGCATTTTTTTATTAGTGATAAACATTAAAATCATATGAAAAATTTCATTTGCACAGAAATTGCTCATGCTGACTTCATGGTGATAAGCAAGGCTAATGACTGTTTCTTCTAAAACAGATGAAAAAACTGCGGTATCTCACAGATGTAATAATAAAAAAGACACTTAATTCCTGCATCATCTAGCTGGACCTCAGAACTATTACAGCAGCTTATTTGAATTACTTCATTATCTAAAAAGTGCTTTGTTCTCATTTATTATTTCTCAGATCAAATTCTGCGAGACACGTCAGTATTACTCATCCCATTTTGCAGATAAAAGATAAAAATGATTGTTTAATATTTACTGAGCACCCACAAAGTTCCGTATCGCCTCCGGCACTTGTTAATAAAAAAGTCTCTACTCTTTACAATTTGACTTTAGAAACTGAACATTGCTGAATTCCATTTATTTTTATAGGTAGTTTGATTTATAGGGTTTGGGAACCGGAAGAGGCCTTGGCAACAAAGTTCAACCTCACATGTTTATAAATGAAGAAGTTGGGCGTAACTGCACTGTAAAAGGACTAAGTCATAACCAGCACCCCAGCAGTCATCCTGGGTCCCTGTCTTTGGTTTTAATACCCCTTAAGCCAATTTAATTAATACCAAGGTTATATCAGGATTACTACAGATGACACTTTTTCAAATTTACAAAAAGCTCCCTAAGTCATATCAAACCAATAATTATTTAATAATCATATATAATTTGCCAGCTGTTGTCAAGAGAAAGAGTACGCTACTCTACTGCCCTCTATGAAACAGGAGAAACAAAAATATTTTCAAAGTGTGATGCGTTTAAAAAATGTTATGCATGAAATCATATTTCTGGTTGAAAATCAATGTTCCTTTTCAAGTTAGTATTTGGAAAACATGCTAAATATAACCTACTGGCACATTATGAAGGTTTTGTCCTACATTTTTTTTTTCTAAATTAAAATATACTAATAGATACATGACCTGTGAATATATTTTAGGTCAGGTGGTTCTTGATATTTTTCATTGGCTAGTTCTAGAAGTCTTGAAAAAATGACATTTTTGAAATTTTAATAACACACAGACACTATACTTTTCCCCAGTATTATTAAGATAATAACTAACACTGTTTAGACAAAAAAAGCTGTAATGTCATCATTAATCTGGGAAATAATCTGAATCCAAAGATAAACTATGAAAATGTTCCCTTCAAATAAAAAGTACAATAATTGGTAAGGTTTTTTTTGAATTCTGGTGAATTTTGAAATTACAGAGAACTTGGAAATGGAATTAATTTTTCCAGCTTTTTAATATTAATCTGTTAAAAATCACTTTAAGTTTTACATAAAGTATATTTTATTGAAACATGTTTTGTTGACAACAAATGCCTAGCCTTCATTAAAAAATACAGTAAATGTTCATGTACAGTAAATGTACAGTAAATCAACATTCCTTCAGTTTATATATTAAGAAGTTACATGTAATATACTTGTTTATTGTTGAGGTTTCCCCAGGGTTTATAGGTGAAACAGCCTGTGATGAGGTGGAGAATTGGGGGGGTGGAGGAAGTAGGGTGTTCTGAGTAGGATGATTATGAAAGTGCTGGTAAAAGGACTTTTTAAAAACAGAAAGTGCATGAAGCCACGCCCCACAAAACAAAAGTCCGCTCTACCTGTAAAACCTCCCTTGAAATTTCCTCACTCACTTCCAGCTGCACCTATTACAACTGCTCCTTTCTTTCCCCTATAGACAAGTCGCATTTCCTTACAAAACCCAAATTAGCAATTAGCATATTGCCACACACACTAATTTCTCACTGCTGTGAAAACTAGGAGGTAATCTTGGAGAAGACTGACATTAACTTGCTTCCTGAAGAAAGAGCTGGCTCATCAAAATGATCACTGACCCACACATGCATGCCCAAAACTCCCGCTCTATTAGCCTGAGGAAAAGAGTAGACAGATGTAAAACTCCAGAATTTATTCATCTTTCTTTTTACAGTAAATATTAGCTGAGACATTGTAAATTGCTTCTACCAGCAAAACCTTTGTTCTAAAAAGCTTTATACACTTTATATATACCATGTTCACCTACCCAACCTTTATAAGAGATAAACAGAAAATCCATAATGTGGTGAGAACTGAACATTTGGATATGGGTCACTCAGATTTACATATGAAAATACATATTTTTGTACAAGATTTGTGGTGAGCAAGATGACAGTCTCTTTTAAACATACAGAAATTGAAAAAATCTACATACTAGAATGTTAATGTACTGAGAATGGTGGAAGGGTGTGAGTTTTGTCTTAACACGTGTGGCATGGAAAATGGTTTTCTCCTCCCAAGCCTTTATTATCTTGCTGACAAAGTCGGGGCTTAGATGAGATGACCTCTAACATCTCAGTCACCTCTAACATTCTAAGACGCAATCAATTCTCTTTTTCCCAAGTCATTCCTGGCCAAATGGTGGCTGAATAAGTTCTTAAGTGAGTATAAATTTAAATAGAATGCTATGTTTTGAGGGAGACATTATTTTGCTGGGGGCTTTAATAGAAAAACTAGAAAATTAAATCACAGATCAATGTTAATTTTTTTATATAATAAATGGAGAAGATCCTGTCTCTGTGTTTGAATGCATGGAAGATACTGTTTTTGTCCTCTTTTGAATGCATCGATGTTCAAATAATGCTATCAAAGCAATTATGACATAGTCAACTTGTTGACTCTTAGCCCCAGTAAAATCTTATTTTTCTCTTCTTACCTAAAACTGAGATTTGAGAAAATGAATGCATTACTAGTATTTGTCACTTCTTTTAAACATTAAAAGAAAGTCTACAGAGAAAATAAAGCAATTTTTGAGGTTCAAAATAATCTTAAACAATGCAAATGTTCCAAATACCACCCCCATTTATTTTAAATATTGGCAGAATACCTTCTGTAAATTTTTCTCTAGAATAGAAATGACATTGAATGGGATAAAATTAGCATAGCATTAAATATTCAAAACGTTAAGCAAAGTGAAATTATCAGAAGAGCAGAGGAGGGAGAGAAGGTGAAACGTAACGAATTCACTTGCACTATTTGTCTTTCCAGGTTGCTTCTGCAAAAACATTCTTCACGTCAACCTCATTCTCAGTCTATTTTAGCAAAGGTACTCTTCCAGAGCTGCCCTTCTTAGAGTATCTGATGAAGCTTATTTGCAATTATTTCACAAGTAGCTAAGGTAATGGAAAGTCTGTGCAATGGCTACATGTGTCTGTAAAGATATAAATTATAAATGACAAACCCTTGATGTTCCCATTAGAAGTGTAAAGTGAAATGTTTGGAGTCAAATGCTTATTACTGATGATCACTGTTGAAACTAGAGACTTGATAGAAAATAAAACAGAAAGGTCTGTATTGTACTCTGGGTTCCCAGAGAATAATACTGTATAGGTTGCAGCAGTGCATTTATTATTTATTATTTACTCAACAAACTTTCATTAGGTTGCTAACTCTGTAGCCAACTGCTGTGCTAGGTAGGTCCTGTGGATGCAAAAGTAAGTAAGACTGAGGCACAGTTTCTATAGTGTCCTTCTTTTTGAGGTATTCATTTAAGCAAAGGTCAAATGTGTCATTAGTGTCTACTGATGAGGGAGGATAGAGATGAAAACAATTGGTATGGACAAGGGTCATAATGCATCTGCTGTAGCGTTATTCTCTCTGCGTCTCTGTCAATGTACACCTGGCAAAAGCTAATTACAGAAAGGAGAATGAGGTCAAGGAAGGCAATATAAACAACCCCTTTGTCTAGCCAGGAAAGACAGAGAAGGGAATGTTCTAACCCTCTATGTAGTCACACTGACTAATGAAACTGAAACTCACAAGAGAGATGTCACCTCTTTTTAAATTGACTATGATAAATTGAGTACTCCAGTTAGCTTAAAACCACCATTTCATTTAGTAGCAATAGTTACAGGTTATTAATTTGAACAAATTTATCAAGCATAGGTTACCACATTTGAATAGGTATACTAGGGTGATGTGGCCACAAGTAATAGCATCAGCCATATAATATGAAGTTCTTCGAACTGAAAATAGTTTGTTCTCCAGCAGACATAGAGTCAGGAATTGCAGCTTTTTTTCTCTAGGAAGAACATGCAAATATCAGCTAGCATATGTGAAGTCACTCATGTGATTACAGCTTACTGTTGAGATTGGTAGAGATGGAAAGTTGGAAAGCACATATCTACATGAAGGAAAGTAGCACAGAAATTTCAACTCAACAGCAGTACCAATGAATGCTTTGGTTTCCTAAGGAGAAAACATTAATTTTCTTTTTCAATTTGTAATAAAATCTTTGTCTGATAAGAGTGTTCCCATAAAAATCCTCTCCCTAAACCAGGAAATCTCAGTATCAATTATATTTTCTACTTCTAAGGAACTTAATTTTTATAAGAGTAGAATACAAACTGTTTTTATTTGCATATTTATCTCTTATGTTGCAAATGAGCATTTTTCTGTTTTAGGAATCTTTCTTACTCAGAAAGTTGAAACACTGAGAGAGAGAGAGAGAACACGAGAGTGAGCAGTTGGTTTGTGGAATTCTGTGTAATTAGAGCCTGAGGCCACTGTAATGAGTTGATTGGCAAAATCTCCACTCCACCACTAGGCAAGCATGTCCGTCCTCTTGTTATTAGGCAGGTCTCACGTACT